GGGCTCCTGGCCATACTACTAGGAACAAGAAGCTACTAGGGGCTCCTAGCCATACTACTAGGAACACGAAGCTACTAGGGGCTCCTGGCCTTACTACCAGGAACTAGGGGCTCCTGGCATCACTACTAGGAACAAGAAGCTACTAGGGGCTCCTGGCATCACTACTAGGAACAAGAAGCTACTAGGGGCTCCTGGCCTTACTACTAGGAGCAAGAAGCTACTAGGGGCTCCTGGCCTTACTACTAGGAACAAGAAGCTACTAGGGGCTCCTGGCCTTACTACTAGGAACAAGAAGCTACTAGGGGCTCCTGGCCTTACTACTAGGAACAAGAAGCTACTAGGGGCCCCTGGCCTTACTACTGGGAACAAATATACAACAATATTTTTTTGAGTTAGCGATGGCCTCCAACCTAGCGATGGCCTCCAACCGGCCTCCAACCTGCTAGCGATGGACGGAATGGATATAGATCTTGAAGCAAATGTGGGTGGTTAGACCTCGTATGACTTGTATGACATGTGGCTGCTTGTTGTTCCAATCACTTGGTACAAACTTAAATCGAGGATCAAACTATCACAGCCTCAATAGCTAGGAGAGCGCTCGTGAAGGTTTCTGTTTTGCGGTATCGATGCATATTGCCAAGCTGTGCATGTTTTGTCGCACCTTTTGAGGTTGATCCGTCCCTGCCACTACCACCCTGGGAGCCGCAGCTACCCGTAGCCCAGCGGACTGCGGAAGCATCTGTGACCCCTTACAAGCGCAACAAGATCAGCCAGGCGATGACGGAGAAAGTTGTCGATGTCGAGCCATGTTGAGCTCCTCCAGGGCGTGTCCTTGGTGAGAGTTTTGCGCCCGCTTCGCCTCTTTTCCACAGGCACAACATGGCACAATAATGAGGAATCGGTGTTTGCGAATGTTAAACAGAACATGCGGTCGACCATGGCTGGTAAGCTAGTAGGTTGGAGGCCATCGTTCGAGGCCATTGCTATTAGGATGGAGGCCATAGCTACTGTATCAGTTTTTTTGTAACTCAATTTGGAGGTAGCTCTAGGAACAATAAGCTACTAGGAACAAGTGCATCGCTTCTAGTAAGAAGTGCCTTACTAGTAGTAACAAGAAGCTATTAGAAACAATTTGCTTCGAAGTTCGAAAGGCCTCCAGTAGCAACTTTTCGTCCAGCGACCAGGCCGAGGGCCTAGAAGCAATCATATCACACGTTTCCGTCAATCATCCCGCTGGATCGGATGTTGGCGTTGCACGGGTTAAAGCACAATGAGCGGAGCCTCAAACTAGGGGAATCGTTGATGGCTTACTAGAACATGGGGAGCTCTACCTCTAGCTTTCCATATGATATCATATGATTATATAACCAACTCATACCAATTCCTTCGTAAAGAGTGAAACTTGATCATTTCAGAGACTGATCAGCACAGTCTCGTTTGTTTTGAGGCCTTCAATCCAGAACCACCTTGGGAGCAGAAGGTGGGGAGAGAGTGATATCTACTTTTGGTAAAGGGGCCGTGCAAAAACAGGCCGGATATCGTGGAGTCAGTATGTTCGTTTTGTTGCGGGTCCTATCTTGAAGAGCGGCGTGATTGGAACTGGCCAACAGCTTGTGTCTAGCCTTTTCGTGCTGAAACCTTTGCTTCGGCTTTGCGGATGGAATTGACATGTACGGCACAGAATCTCAGAACAGACTTTGTTTTTTTCGTCCTTGGGCCAAGTCAGCCCCAAGCCAACCCCCCCAACACTACAGTCCAACCAACAAGGCAACCTGTTCGGTGTTTTCCTCTGCAATTTGGAGGTTAGGTGATCAAATGTGATCAATAACTACCCCTGATTTCGTGGAAAAACCTGGAATTAGGACACGACACGGAAAAACAATGGAAAAACAGAGTCCGTCCCAATAAAGAGCACACGTTGTTTCATTGGTGGGCCAAATTCCAGCTTTGGTTGAACAGGTGTACAGGTGTGAGCTTGACATGAAACAAAGGGAAATGTAGGACATCGAACAACGCTTTTAAAGCATCATTAACCAAACACACCAGCATTCATCCACAGCAACCGGTTTACTAGAACATGGGGAACTCTACCTCTAGCTTTCCATATGATATCATATGATTAACCAATTCATACCAATTCCTTTGTAAAGAGTGAAACTTGATCATTTCAGAGACTGATCAGCACAGTCTCGTTTGTTTTGAGGCCTTCAATCCAGAACCACCTTGGGAGCGGCAGGTGGGGAGAGAGTGATATCTACTTTTGGCAAAGGGGCCGTGCAAAAACAGGCCGGATATCGTAGAGTCAGTATGTTCGTTCTGTTGCGGGTCCTATCTTGAAGAGCGGCGTGATTGGAACTGGCCAACGAAGATGTATCGTCATCCGGATATACGCCCCTTGCTGCGGACCTCAGCAGAGGAACATGCGGTAGAAGGCATGTGATTGGATGGAATGCGGGAGGTTGTACCGAAGGAATGTGTTTTGGATTTCTTTGAAGTGGGGAGACACACGCGGCAGGCACATGCTTAGCGGAAGAATCCACAAAGGAGGCAAAGGGTCAGAAACGCGGCAAAAAGTTGATATCGTAATGGAGCAGGCGAAGACTGACACAAAAGCGGAGAGTGCTCGTGAACGGGAACCGTCAGAGAAAGGAGCAAGTCGAGGAGAAGGTCGGATGTTGTCTATAACGTTTGGGGAGCATGATTGGAAGACATGTTTGGTAGGTGGCCGGGGCGTTAGACACTGTGGGATTCGTATATGGCGGACACTCGCCTTCGAGGTTGCTTCCCTGAGGGCAGTAGAAGTCTAGTCCCAGATCTCCGTGTGCCGGCCAAAAAACGCACAGGTTGGGCAACCGTCTCGACAAGCCGATCTAACTGTGACACCACACCGAAAACCATCTCGATGAGCCGACAGGGCAGTGTCCTTTGGCGTGCTCCCCCGGCAGCGGGGTCGGCGGATATATGGACCCCCCCCGCGATCTCCCTGCATTTGTGAGACAATCGCTACTAGGTCTAGGTTTGAGGCCGCTTCTAGGTTCGGGGGCAGAGCGGTCTTCAAAAGATCTCTACCTTGGTGCAGGACGGCCGCACGCGGGGTTCTGCCTCAGCTCAGCTCCTTGGATGAGCCGTTTTCGATGTAGCGGCTGAAGGGGTTGAACGTTTTAGAAGAATGAACTTTTGAGGCCTTGGTTCTTTGGTCTACCAAGCCATCCGCCGGACCGTCCACTAACTGACTCACCTTGGCAACATTGTGCCTTTCTTTTCAGGGTCGCGCGAACATGTCATATACTGGAACCAAAATTCATACTGCTACTAGTAGCAAGAAGCTACTAAGTGGAGGCCATCGCAATTAGGTTGGAGGCCAATACTACTAGTAACAAGAAGCTACCAGGTGGAGGCCATCGCTATTAAAGGTTAAGTTACCCTAAATAATCTAGGAACCAAATCATGAGTGCGAGCGCTTCTTCAAGGACCAACAATGCTGACCAACAGTTGAGGAGTCATCGTTTTTGTTTACTTGGTCCAACAGTTTATTTTTTAATTGTTCTGGCTATGCGAAAGTTGAGAACAGGATCAAACACCAGATTGCTGCAAGAGGGGTTCATGAAGCCAATGGTTATGAACTGCTGCGTCTTGTTCGCAGAGAGTTTTCCTTGATGACCAGAACAGAAGCTTTGCACTACCGTGAGTTAGTTTTACATTTTTCAGTGAAGAAGCCCACAGTGGAGACAATTGTGGACAACCTGCGAGAAGTTGAGACTGAGATTTCTGTCTTCCACAATATGTTGGAAGCTTCACTCATTGCAAGGCAGTTGAATGACCTTCGCATTGTTGATGGAGACCAGTTTCTTTTGTACCTTGACACCTTCCAGAGAAAGTGGCGGAGCACTGTCAGTTGGCTGTAGGAGCTGGCACGGTTGCACAGTTGTTGCGGGAAGCACTGAATACTATGCTCGGAGCAGAGCCACACGGCCTTTTGAGCGAGCAAATGCTTTGAGAGGACGTCCGTGTTTTAAGTGTGGAGAGCCAGGTCATTTAGCCTCGAATCGTCCCAAGCCACCGAAATGCAAGCATTGTGGCAAGTCAGGACATAGTGCGAGTGACTGCTGGGAGAAGTTCCCTGAGAAGAAGCCCAATGACTTCCAAAGCCCAAGGGCAAAGGTCGCGGCAAGGGTCGTGGAAAAGGCCGTGGAAAGGGCAGGGAGGGGAAGTTCGCGAGATTGAGGATGAAGAGGGTGACTGGGAGGAAGAGTGGTATGGTTAAGAGGAAGGCGACTATGAAGAGCCTGAGACTGAAGCACCTGATGATTCAGCTTTTGTCGTCAGGGCCAAGCCTCGGCGAGTGAACGCAGAACCCGGACTTCGAGTATTGAGGGTGCAAGTCGCACTTCTACCACTGAGGGTCCTGTAGTGCACCATGTTTCACACCCACTGGAGTACCTGATGAGTACTACTGGCTGAAGAGTGGTTGAGACTCGGTTGAAGGTCATGCAATTCCAGGGGTCGAACGATACAAACGACACGTGCGCAGAAGAACCCGTCCCAGGGTCCTGCCCACATGGAAGTTGGAAAGGTGAGTTCTTCTTTGGAAGTAGGAGCACGAAGCATTGAAACGGCAATCGCACCAAACGAAACACAGAAAAGCAGCCTCAGAAAGCCAAGGTGCGCTCGACCTTCAAGAAGGGAAAAGTGGTTAAGAGACTTGCGTAGACCCAAGTTCTTTTCAGTCGTTTTCGTATGTGTGCCGCATGGGTCGTTGTTTGTTTTTCCACCAAGCTGCCGCAGAAGGATCGCTTTTTGTGATGTGACGCCAATACGCTTAGCGAGGATGTCTTTTGGGACTGTTCTTTGCTTTAGGCAATTGTGCAAGATATAAGTTCACTTATAAGTTGACTATGTGAACTTATATGTTTGCCAACCGCACTTTTCATTTTGCTAAGCAAGACTAGTGGACTTATAAGTCTGCTGAAACATATATCTAAAAAGCAGTACTTAGCTAACTCATAAGTGGACTTAACTTCTAACGTGAATGGCAACTTATAAGTAACTTATAAGCCGCTTAGCTAAGTCCACTAAGTACCCGCCGTGCGTCATATATCAAGGCCACATCAGGGCCGTATCAGGACCCTCAAAAATCGCGAGGCTAACTGGAAGCTAAGTACTGCTAAGTCACTTATAAGTGTCCCTGAGCTAACTTTGGCTAACCGCTTATAAGTTCAATTAACCGACCTACATCACAAAGGCGCCAAAGAATTGGTCCTGTGTTGGAGACTGCGAGCTTCCGCCTGGAGAGGATGAGACCGGGTTGCGTTTGGAGTCGACCGGCTCACCTTTCGTTGAGTCGTCTGTGGTTGTCGAGGGGATTAGTGGACACTTTGTTTGCCAGCCAGTTGATGGTGACGACGTGTCTGGAACGTTGATCTCCCGAGTCTTGAAGACTTGCGCGGAGCCGATCCGGACGATCATGCGAACATGTCGACTTTCTATTTTCACAAGCTGACGTGGAATCCGGCGAGGAAGATCCAGTAGTTCCACTTGAGAGAGATCCTTTTGATGATCCTGTGAGGGACTCATTCCCAGAACTTGCTGCGTCTGAGCTGGACATAGGTCTGTTGCTTGACCGTGAGTATCAAGAGGCATCGCAGCTTGATCAGGGTTGTGAGGCTGTATAGAACAGCCAGCCCTTTGTGAACGTTTAGCCTATGATTTGCAGAAGGGGAACTTGGCGGACTCTCCCTGTGAAGTTGGGAGTTTGAGTGTGGACTCACAGTGTGACCTTGTCAGCGTTGTGCTGGATGGTTTCCATGACCGTGTTTGGTCTGTTTGGCATGGTTTGCCTTGTTGTTCTTGGTGTCATCCAAGAAGGGGACATCGCCTCACAAGCCTTGGTGCGCATTGAAGCTGGAGTCGGGGTGTGTCGTTGACCATGCACGTGGAGGAACCAGACATGAAGATTGCCAAGAACTCCAGAAGAAATTTGCTGACTTTGGCTGTTTTTGCTTACAATGCCGGAAGCAATACCAGCGCATGTCCAGTTGCCCAAGCTGTATGGGCTTGGCATCGGCCAAAAGCAAGCCCCACAAAGGCTGCAACATTCCCATAGGTGCCGGGCACTTGAAGAGGCACTACCCCGCGTTCAGGGTAGTAGCTACTTAAGCCAGGAGCTACGTTAATTCCTTATACTTAATGAAGTGGGTAGTCTCCTTTCTTAATTAAGCAGGGAGGAGGGGGAGCGTGCTAATTTTAAGAAAATGGTTGCATCGGATCTGGGCGTCGCCTTCGGCCGCATCCGAGGCCTGATGCGACCGCCCCAAGCGGCCCAGGTGTGATCCGATGGGTGTTTGTTGTTTTTTTCTAAGCCCCAAGCTTTGGAAATCTTCCTTTGTTTGACTTCTCTTTAACACGGAGGAAATCGAAAAATATCCTGCTGTTGCTTGGAAGTGCTCGTGAGAAATGGAACGGTGGAACTCTGAACCATAGCGATCACGACATTTCCACAAGACAGTCGGTTCCATGAGGGCCATCGAGTGTGGATGTGTTGTTTGACTCTTGAGTTCGAGTTGTTGAACCTCGTATCAGATCGTTCGCATAGCGAAATGAGGGCAGAACGACAGTTTTTGAGTGATTTTTGTCCGTTCCTGGTGGGGTTTTCCGAATTGTGGCACACTGCAAGAAACGGGTCCCAAACGTTGAACACAGGAAAAAACCGCAGGGAAGAAGGGATGCTCGCCATGTTTGAATTCTGGAAACTTATCATGCATTTAGGCCTGGATACTTATGCAAACAGTTTATCTGGGCAGTGAACGGCAGTGAAGGTGCTTCTTGGATATCCAAAACGCCTGGCTGAACTGCAAGGTTTGTCCACGGCTGCTTCACCAGCGACTTCTTCAAGCAAAAATCCTACTCTGGAAGCAGGCGCTGCTGTTAGTCCTTTGTGTCCTGTGTTAGTCAGAGTATCATGGCATTTTCAACTCATGGATAACACTTATAACATCTTATGACATAATGTGTCTTCCTCTCTCCG